TTACTTCGTACGTCGTACGTACGTACGTTACGTACGTACGTTACGTACGTACGTACGTACGTACGTAGACGAGGAGGAGAGGAGAGAGAGAGAGTAGAGAGAGAGAGAGAGAGAGAGAGAGAGAGAGAGAGAGAGAGAGAGTGATTCCAGCCCTAGAAAATGGAAAGCCTTAAACTGCAGGGTGCGAAAATGGCGGGAAGGAATTAGGGTTAGGGTTTTAATGGCCATGGCGAATGTCTCGCGGACCCTAACGGCTAAATTTATCTTCCTCTGCGTCAGTGTTAGCACCGAGCCAGACAGCTTCTCTCTCTATTGCGTAGGTAAGTCTTTTTCCTCACTGTTTCTCTCTTTAGCTCACTTGTAATGGCTTCTCCATTTAGAAGTTGCAGAGAGCTTTTGGAGCTGCTTTGCTCTGTACCAGTGTGTCCACTTTTCTCCCATTTGTCTAATCCTTTTAGTTTTTTTTTGGTCCTAAATTGTTATCATTATCACATGTATTGAATTGTAAAACTTCAATTATGCGTTTTGTATTAGTTTGGAATGATATTTTGAGGTTTCTTTTGACTTCATTCATCTTCTTGGAATGGGGACTGATTTTCTTCCTTGTTTTATAAAGTTTTTGGTTTCTTATTTGGGTTTGGAGCATGTTTTTGTTGGTGGATTTTTCTGAACTCTATAATTGTGCATGTTCTATGTTGGAAGAAAAGAAGTGTTAAAAATAGCGAGCGCATCTTTTCCTTTTTCTTTTTTTTTTGGCTTTTATTCTAGACTTCGTGCCTTGATTTTGGGATTTATATAGGGGAGAAGTTAATCCTTTCCTTATTGTTTTTACATTTTTTATCGTTAGTTGCTATTCCTTCAATCCGTTTAATTGACTGGTCACAAGGATACATACTAAGTAGATTTTCAAGATCAGTTTTATGAGAAACCGAGGGATTTTGGAATTCTTGCGTTGGGAAAGGTGGGGTGTTATGGTTATTATCTGGTTAATTTCTCAAGCCTTTTGTCTCTGGGAGCTATTCTCATTCTGGTTTTTTATGTTGGGATTTCTCCCAGTTTAAGATATTGGATGTCTTTTCTATTAGATTTTTGTGTGTTTGACTAGTAATTTGAGAGTTCAGTGTCGGGCTGTACTTACGAGGTTTTGGGGCTTTTTACACATTAGCGGAACTTTTTAACGAATTGCTTTGTAATTATGTTTCGTTCATTTACACTAATTTGGTTTTGAAAATTTTTTGGTTGGTCAATGCAGTGACGTCTATTTTGGGTTTTTCAGATTGCTTAAGTTTTCTTGGAAATACTAAGTGAGTATGGATATTATGGACATGGGAAAGTTGGAGGAAATGGACTCTGGATTTATCCAAGCATCCGAAGGGTTTTTGCCATTGATTAGTAGCTTCAAGGAGAATGACTGTTTCCAAGACGATTCAGCTTCTTATGAAAGATTCCTCGCTCCATATGATACAGATTCATTCTTTGACGACCTTGCAAATAGATTAATTATCTCAAGAATGGTTAATGACTCTGTGGTAAAAGGAATAGTAAATGCAGTGAAAGAAGAGGCTGATGAGCGAATATCAGAAAAGGAAGCCGAGATTGAAAGCTTGAGAGAAAATTTAAGTTTATCCAAGTCAGAGGTAGCCAAGTTAGAAAGGTTTTTGGAGCATAAGGATAAAGAAATGGCTTCTTTGAATGCTTCACTCAATCATTCAAACAGTAAAACATCTCAGATAGAGGAAGTTCAAGCAGTCTTTACTTCAAGGCATCATGAGCATTTCAATGAAGAGCCAAAATCAAGTTTTAAGATGGCAATTGAAGATCATCTGAGGAGAATGAAGCAAGAAATTGAGGATGGGAGGGTGCTTGCAGTTAATGGCTTGATGGGTATTTCTGAATTTTCTTCATTAAATGGCCATATGGATAACATGACTAAAATGTTTTCGAAATCTCATGTTGAGAAAGGAATAGCTAGATCCTCAGTTAAGGATATGGGACTGAATCCATGTGAGATTTACCATAAATTCCAACATATGATTAAAGTTTATGACTCCTTAAAAAATGGGTTGGACATGGTTTGGGAACAGGTCAGTGATTCTGACTTAATTGAATGGAAGTGGAAATTTGATGCACACGAAGAAGTCAATGCTCCAGTTTTGAAGGGGGAGCTCCAAGGGAAATCAGTTATAGGTTCATGGGAACAGAATGGTCAAGTGGCTGATAGCCATAGAAAGCAGCTTTCAATGCAGATTGATGTGATTTCAAGCTTGAGACAAGAGTTAGATGCAACATTGAGGAGTTTAACTGCTCCCGAACCAGGCCAACAACTCTCGCATGGATCGCAAGAAGTCACTGAGGAGCAAATTAGTAATGCTGAAAAGAAAAACCAGGTCCACCATAATGTCATGGGGAATCGCCTTTCCCCTGGTATTGTCCTTCGTGAGGAAAATGATGTGGCCATTGCTTTAGAGAAATTCAAAGAGCCCAAAAATAACCCTGATCGAATACCTGAGTCTGGGGAATTGAGGCACATGTCAAAGGAAGAGCTAATGACCTATTTTACAAGTGAAATGACCAAGATGAAGAGGAACTATGAGTCTACTGTGCATGAGCTAACAGAAGCTTTCTTTAGTCTCAAGAGGAAACACCTTAAAGAAAAAGGGTCTTCACCATTGAGGAGAGATAAGGAATCTGATGGTATCCGGAAAAGGATCACAGAGGCCGTTATAAAGTTGGATGACATGATCAAGGAGACTGCCAAGCTAGCTTTAATTGAAGAAGATTACCAAAAGTTGTGCTCCTTGAAGGATAAACTTCTTTCTGAAAACCAGCACTTACGAGAGATGCTTGCCGATAAAAATAAGGAAGTCAAGTACCTCTCATCCCAGGTTTCAGATGCTGCCAATAAAATGTCCCTTCATTCATTGACAGAAACAAACTTCCTCAAGCTGATAAAGAAGCTTAGATGTGATATAGAAGATCTAAATGTAGAAATTTTCATTAGAGAGGAGGTATACAAGGATGTTGTTCGTGAGTTGGGTATTGAATTCAGAGGTGTTACGAACGATTTTCTGATCGAGGCTTCAGTCATAGAAGAGATATATGCCATCATATATGAAGGAGCAATCAGGGATATAGAGGCTTATGTAAATTCTACATTGTTGAAGTATGGTGAAGAAATGGACAGGCTGAACCACCTTGAGACAAAACTCTTAGAGAAGGAGGAGGCAATATGCTCAGACATTAAAGAAAAGGAGGTGTTCAAGCAAGAAATTTCTTCATTGTTGAGTTTGATGGGAGAGAAAGAGAATGTGGCAGTGGAAGCTAGTGCAGCATTGAAGGAACAGAAGGAGCGTCTTGATCTAGTGACTCAAGAGCTTAACATGTTCAAGGAACAATCAGATCAGCAAGAGAAAGTAATTGATGAGAAGAATAGAGAGTTGAATTCTGTGAGTGGGAGATTGAAGGAAGCTTTGAAGCAAGTAGGCTTTTATAAATTAGAAATGAAAGAGTTAGATCAGGAACTTACGGAATCGTTGAATGACTTAGGGAAAGCAAGGGAACAAATATCCTTTCTTGAAGGTGTAGTTCAAAACAATCAGCAAACAGTATGTTCACTTGTGATGGCTGAGGAAGAGCAAAGGAAACGGTTGGAAGCTACTGTAAAATCTGCTGAGGACTTGTTCAGAGCACTAATTGTACTACAAAACAGAATATATGAAGGAATTGGGAAGAATAGTCTAAGGTATGTGCTATAAGATCAAGCAGACCCACCTTTCCAATGTTTTAAAAAACGGTCCGCCCGGCACCTAGGCTGCCTGGACCAAAATACCGCACGCCTAGACCTAGACGGCCCTACATGGGCGGATGTACTTGGGTGGGCGTTCAGGTGGGGCAGGCGGGCGACTCTTGCGTTTTTTGAAACCTTGCACCTTTCTATATATGCATTGGAATGAACTTCTGTGAGTGTGTTCCTGCTTCAAATATTTTTTTTTGGCTTCTTGGGCTATGATCATATGTATCTAAGGAATGCTGTTTTCGATGCATTGCTGGATTTTCTATTTTTGTGTGTTTTATTTCTATTGAAATTTTCATGTATCTTGTGGAGTTTGAAATATTTTTATCTTTTTATGATTTCTTTTTCTGGTCACCTTGTAGTGGGAATGGCACCTATCTATGTGTTGGGCTTTGCCATCATGTTAGATTATATTACTAGGCCTAATAAATTATCATAACTCACTTTTCTTTTAATTAATAAAGCGATCTAACAAACAGTTGAACTGATGGTATCACATGTGTGAAAGATGCACGTACCTAAGTGGTTGGTAGTTACACCAAGGTGGATACTGGTCCATTTTGCGGAAATCTATTCATTCCTAATCACTATATGATGCTGTGTATATTCATGAATATGGGAAGACAAATGAATAATTGTATATCTCCAATGGTTAGATTCTTTTGTTGCATGTCGGCGTGTAAGGATACAGCCACATATCACACTTTCTGCCTCTCCTGTGTGTTATGTTCCTTGAGAACTGGAAGTGGCACATTCAAATCAAGATGAGTTGCACGTGCCTCAGAACATCATAAGACATTAGGCGTATTTGTTTTTGTGTCAATGTGACATTGATTGGTATCTTTCTAGTTTTATTGAAGAGTGGTATTAACTGTAAACCATTTTGAATGTATGGCATGTTGACTTAGGGTTCTCCAAAGGAAGAAACCATTGTGTGTCTGTCGGTAATTTCTGACTTGCAAAACTTAGACGCAAATGTTTAGACTACAGAATTCATTCTGTCATGCACATTGTATAGAGAATATCAAAATCTTAGCTTCTTAAACTTAAGATCTTTGACCTGGAACCTTTCTAAAAACTATTAATGGTCTAGATTGTGGTCAAAACTTGCTTTATGCTATAGTTTCATTAAGTCACTTGGTGAATAATGGGGATTACTTATACCTGAAGATTCATAAAAATGCGTCTAAGGGCGTTTCCTTAAAATATCTTAGTGCACAACATTTTAAGTTCACCATCAAGAAGCTGGCAAGACAGAGGCTTAAGGCAAAGACAACTACTTGATCACTATCTTCCAAGGCTTTTGGCGGATAGCGAGGTGATAACCTATGGAGGTATGAAAGTGTCTTGTAGGAGGGAAGATCATCTTGCTCCTAATGCTAATTTGGTTTGGTTCTTACAAGAGTAGATCATCATCACTATTAGAGCCTTTTCCCAACTAATTGGGATTGGTTACATGAATCCTGGTTCCCGCCCGAGCTAATTCTTGCTAATTTCTCACTGTACCTAGGTTCCAGTACTACGCGTTGCTATGGGAAACCCTAGCATAAGCAGATAACGTATATTCTGGATTCATGGAAAGTTTTGGCAAAGTTTTACGTTGGTTACCTACCTAACACAACCCACCTCTTTTACTCGGGCTTGGGAAGGGTTAAGGGAAAGTTTAAGATCCTCACCCTTCTTAAGACCGTACTTTTTACAAGAGATGAGAAACAAAAATACAGAAATGCCATTTTTGCTATGTTGATCAAGGTTCAATTGGAACATATTAAGGACCTAAAGCGTATTAGCCTGGTGTTTAGTTCGAGTAATACCAAATTCCTCTATTCAATCAATGGTAGGTTACATACTTCTATAGCAAGTTACCATTTTAAATGGTATCCCTGAACTCCATATAAAGCTGCACACAAGAAGACCTATGCCCATACAAGAGGGGCTTTGTGAAGTACGGACTTCATTTGGATGTTTGTTGGGTATGTTCCTGACCTGATAGAGTCCAAGGGTCGACCTGGACTTAACCCTGACCTGGTTATGTCTAGTTCAATTGGACCCGGCTGGTTGACTCTGATCACGGTCAAAATATAAAAACGTAGAATTTATATATAAGATGTTTTATATATTTCATAAAATATATTAGATTTATTCATTTATTCTAAATGTTAAAAAAATATACTGGATCTGGTTAGGTAACCCCCAACCCGGTTCGGTCCGGCCTGGACCCACACCGGACTTGACTCTATCGTCAGGTTCATATTTCTAGGCCCAGAGCTGACTTGATGGGTTGAGAAGTTGGACCTAGATTGTGAACCACGTTGGATTAACCCGCCAAGACCCAATAATCAGGCCTATTAGAGTTTTAGTTTGGTTGAGGAGGCAACTTTGAGGTGCTTGGAATGAGAATCAATTTAAGTGAGAGTATCATTCTTGACATTGGGTTGAGGTTTTTAGGGTTGAGGAATCCACTAGTTGGTATGGTTGTAAAATAAAATGGTTACCTGGTAAACACAGAGGGCTTCCTCTATCTGTTGACATGCCTTGGAAAATCCATGGTATCCATTGATAAAGAAATTAGAGCGGAGGCCTGATGGTGGAAGCGCCAATTCTTATCATCTACCCTCATCAAATCTATGTTGGGTAATCTTCTAATCCAATACCTGCTTGGTCTAAATGTCTAGTGGCAGAAAAGCAGAATATCATGTAGTCAGATGGGGGGCGGGTTCGCAAGTCTAAGGTTTAGGGATGCCTGGGATATGATGGCTGATGTTGATAAGGCATTTATTGGACAATTTTTTTGGTTTTCTTTGATTTGACTGGAGCAATGTCAGCTAGAGTGGTGGGGAGAAGTAATGGTTGTGAGTAAAATAACTGGGGGATCAGCGAGATGGGTACATGTAGTAGGTTTTCTTGGGCTCGGAGAGGAAGAGATCTACTCCACGAGAACAAAGTTTAGGAACAGGATCTGGGGATCGATTTAGCTTCAGTTTGATTTTTGTTGTGATGCCGTCTGAATATCTTTTTTTCATATTTGTCTAAAAATTGAGTTCAACACCTTAGGTGCTAGTAAGGTTTGTGGGGAGAGGAGGGGATTTGGTGGTATTGTGAAATGCTTTAGAAGGCTTATTAATTGCCAGATGAGATGGGGTGCTTAGTAGGGTGCCTTAAGAAACAACTCATCCATGACTCAAGCTTTTACTAGAGATTGTGGAAATGGAGTAATTTCTGTCTTCTGCATGCTAGCTCCTTAGTGCCTTTTAAGGGAAATTTGGCAGGTCACATCTAGGCTCCTTTGATGGGTGCATTCAAGTTACTCTTAACGACTTCCAGAGGCATGACAACATACTTCCAGTACTTGTTTTGGATGCTAAAGAGTTTTGGATGCTAAAGAGTCTGACTGTGTCTCCTACATTTGCACCTACACAAATAAGATGGGAATTATCTCTCAGGTTTAGTCAAGGTATCTTTGATGATACCAAGTTTGATAGTGTGCCTGGTCTCTAATGATTCAATGGTTGAATTGCTTGTGGCCAAAGAGCAGACCTATTCAATGAAAAGATGTGCCCTATGGTAATAATTTGAGAAATTGTGGGATTTTCAATGGTTTATATAGCAGATATCCGAGGTGCAAGAGAGTTATTGGGGATCCTAAATCTCCTCAGTCTCTGACTATATATGATTTTTTTGGTTTCAGAGATGCTTGGATTTAGAGTGGAAGAAGGTGGCTTAGACCATGGCTCCCTATGGAATCTGGGACTGTAAGGCGTTAAGTTTTTGTTGTGCTAAGTGAGAGATGTTCTAATGGGCTTGATGATTTCCCTCCACTTCTACCCAGGCTTCTTGATTATGGAAGGTGATTCTTTACAACATGATTAGTCATTCTCAAATTGGAACATTTTATCCTAGGAGATTAACTATGTTTTTAAACTGTTTCCTAGGGTCGTGTCACTATCTCTTCTTCCCTGATCTCAAAGAAGTTACCACTGCAGTGTACTTACCCAGTAGTGAATCAGGATTTCTTTTTCATTTGAGATTCTTAGTCCTCCATGAACAATGTATTCTCTTGCAGTTTTTTATTGCACCCGAGATGCAATTTATTTTTCACAGCAATGCCCTTATTTTTCTTTCCTGAAGAAATGGTTACAATATATTAAGATATAAAATATGTTAAAAAAAACCCATGAGATGTGGGTGTAGGCAGCCATATGCTGGTGCTCAGATCTGTACATTAAAAAAATCATTCAAAAAAATCGTATAACACACCTCGAGTCTTGGAAGATAGAGGGATAGAAAATGCGAGTTTGCGAATTGGTATAAGGGGTTATGACTTTGAGAGAGAGCATTTCCCTTAGTTATCCATAAAAATAGGTATAGGGAGTAAGGACTTTTAAGTACCCTTGAAGAATAAAAAGATGGTTGAAGAACATGAAGCTGGTAATTTACTTTTTTAACTTACAAAGAAAAAAAAAGATTGAAGACGCTAGAAGTAAAACTGATTGAAGAACACATTACAAACCTGACATTGTCGGTAGAAGTAATTACTTTACACAAGTTATGTGATTATGAATTATTTGTGAAATAGCTATTAGTATTTTGTAATTAAAAAAGTTTCAATTTTCTCTTTCTTAATAAATCACTTTCTTTTTCATTTTATTCTTGTTCATGGATTTCACAATGATTTAAATATTTGGAAGCATGGATGGATTTTTTTAGCAGCATCTTCATCATCTTAATTTTCAAATGCTAAATAACAATAGGTTTTGAAAGTTGAATCATAGACAGTTTATGCTTTGTTAGGAAGTTACTCATTCTTTGTCTGGATCACAAATAAAGGGTTGCAAATGGATATAACCTCATGGATTGGTGGCTTTTCCTAGCATGCTATGCTTTTCAACATGTTCATCTCAGTAGATGCAAAATGCTATAGTTTGTACTTGTTTAATGTTAAAGGTAAATGCCCCTTACATTGTTCTTTTTTCTTTCAGGTTAGAAAACCTAAACAAACAATTTTATCCACTTGTTCGGCATGCTAATTCACTTAGGAAGAAGAATTTGTTGTACAAACAAGGTTTGGAAAGAAGATATTCTGACCTTCAAAAGGCAGAAGTAGAGGTATCTTGGATGAGCATCAACATGCTTTTATCTTTTGAGATCTGTGGCATTGTCTTTAATCTTGGAAGATTTTTTTTTCATTTTTCCCTCTCCTGAAAGAACCATTGTTCATTTCGACCTTTCGTTGCCATTTGTTGTTTGGGTTTTGTAGCGGCATATAATTAAAGATTAATTCTGTAGTTATCAATTTCTCTAAGTAAATCAATGTTCATTTAATCAATGTTCATTTAATCAATGTTCATTTAATCAATGTTCATTTAGAACCATAAAAATTGGAAGTTGGAACAGTTTGAAAACATATGGTTCTTCTGGAGTTTAAAACATTAATCTTTGAGGTGCTATTTTTGAATTGCTGGCTCAGTACAAGGGTCCATTCCAGTACATGCATGTTTTTATGTACCATAAAGGCCTTGATTGCATGCCATAATCTGAGTCTATCATATTCTTTAGCTATGAATTCCAGTTGCATGTGCTGGCAAGGGTCGTAGGTATCCTTGACTCTGAAATTTTACCAAATCTTCCAAAGATTTCCTGTTTGACTCATTATGTCTATATTACTTTGATTCATATGGCATGAAGGGGCAACATGTTATTCCTATTTAAATTTTTCTTTATAATCAGCAGTGCACTGGAAGGTATCTGCACTTTTGTCATCTGAACATGATCCCTACAATGTGAAGGTGGTGCCTTTCTCAAACCTATATCACATGGCCTGGCCTTAATGGACCACCATAGTGTTTTAATTTAGAATTTTCTGCTCCCAAATCTTCTGACTATAAATGATCCTCACATGCCTAATACTTAAAACTTCCTCAAAATCAATCCTAAATACTATCATATACCCTCTCTAAAATATGTAATCATGCATTACCCGCAAATATTAGCTCATATTAATTACTTAATGGCACTGGTATTATCCATATAACATGAGTATTTTACTTACATGTAATATAAGTCATAATACAAACACAATGCAAGTATTCGAGTCTATTGATTTGTGCATTGTTTGTCTGTATTCTGTAAACAAATATATTGCATAATAAATAAGTAAATTCACCTATTGAAAACATGTATGGTATATTTACATATCTTGCTGATAAGAAATGTGTTCATATTCTTTGCTCAGATGTAAGCTAATACTCCAGAACAAAACTTGTAAGTCTTGTTTTTGGATCGCTTGCTTGTGCAGTTGTGCTTGAATGAAGATCATCATTCTTAATATAGTCATATGTAATTTAATGTGCATTAATTCTCTCAACAAAATTTATGTGTTAACTATAAATTTTTATAAAAAGTGTTTTAGATTTCACACACAAAAGCGCACACACGCACGTGCATACATACTAATCTTTTCATTAATTTTATGAATATTTATGAATCGTATTCTGTTGGAGTAAGATATATTAGTTATGTACGATCTATTATATCAATGCTACTTGTAGTTTTATAGATTATGTACAATTTTATACATTTATCATTATTTCACGTTCATATACAAAGATGTTATATATAAAAATATTTTACATGGATAAATTATCTATCCATGTGTGACTTTTACAATATATCATTATATTTGGTTTTTGATCAGTTATTGCAGTTGTAATCATTCGATCATTAAATACCATAGGATGTATAATTCATAATTATATAAAGATTATTATTAATTATTTAAGTAATTATTTAAGTATAGTTGGAAGAAGGGCTGTCGGCCTTTCTCTTGTGTAGGAGAGGTGCTATTGACTCCTCTTGATATCCAACTTCAGGGAAAAAAGAGTAACCACATGTCACTTTTGTTCCCTCGTTGGCAGGGAAAGAGGCCATCTTCCCTCATGGAGATTGCAAGCTTGGGGACTGCAATAATCGCTTTATATTTGTTAGTTAAAGTATTTTGTGATAGTAATCATTGAGAGTATTAGGTGTTGCAGGGAGCACCACTCGCTGCTACTCTGATGGGCCCATTTCACAGGAAACTTAATATTAACTATGTTTAGAATGGTAATAAGAATTAGTTACAAGCGTAAATAGCTGTATTAATATTATTTTATTGAGATTTCTCTTGGTATCCCATGTGCCTATATAATTCGTTTATTTGATATACATTTAGGAGTCTGCATCCTTTGGTGATTTAAAGGTTTATGTATTGATGTAGCTGTCTCTTTTACACAGATTTCTTTTGATTCAGGTTGATTTGCTAGGTGATGAAGTTGATACACTTCTCAGTCTCCTTGAGAAGATATACATCGCACTTGATCATTATTCACCTATTTTGCAACATTATCCGGGGGTGAGATGATTCAGATATATAGACATGTTTTGCTTTTGTCTTTGCTCTCTCTTTTTGCTTTTTCTGATATTCCTCGTTGGCTTATACTTCTGAAGTTATGTTGGAGCATATTCATTTACAAGTGTAGAATGTGTGATTTTGCAACAGCTTAAATTCTTGCAGTATGCATTTTTCTTCTTTTGGCAGTGTAGCAATGATTTGTTTTGGATGTTGTTGTATGGACGCACTTATTTGTATCATTGTAATTTTATTGAACCCTTTTATTGTTCCTTCTGGCAGATTATGGAAATTCTGAAATTGATTCAGAGGGAACTGAAAGGAGAAGTTGCCCAACCAATCTGATCATGGCGTTGCTTTAAGGTGTGCCTTTGTATATTTTTCAGTTATATTTATATTGAGCAATGTAGAGTTCTTTCTCAATATACTGAAACTGAGATTCATGTTTACTGTCCTTTCTTATGGCCCTCTGGCAATCATCAACAAAATTTTACTGATACTCTTTGTGGATATGTTACCTAATCAAAACAAGGGAAAAAATAAATAAAAAGAGAGCCATGTGCCGATGTTTATATCAATCTTCATGTGCCATGCTCGATGTGTGGATTATATTCTGTTTCTTTTGTTATGAAAATAGATATTCATCAGCTTTCATCTGGGATGGCTCTGATTCTTCAGTTAATTTGGTCCCTTTATCAAGGTAAGTTTTCCATATTTTAAAAACAAGATGGAAAACATCAAATACCAAAAAAGTAGAATATAAGTGCTACCGAATACCTTGAGGATCTAAATTCTCAATGACTCAGTTTTTGGTTTTTTTCCCCAATTCTTATGTGTGTCCACTCATAAATCTGTGCGTGTACACAGTATAGATCCATGTATATGCATGTGATTATGTCTCTGTGTGCAAATGTGGATCTCTTTGCCAATAAAAAATCAAAATATTATTCCTCATATCTCCATTGATGCTATTGTAGAATGAGAATATGCTTACTACACCGTATTTAAGCATGCTCCGGAATAACTCTGCATAATCACTGCCACCCAATAATTGACAAGTTCTCCCTCACTTTGTTGGTAATTTCCATTATGCATTTGCCTACTGCATGAAATGTCGAGGCACTTCGTGTAAATTTCTAACATGCCAACAAAGCTCACAAAATGAATGAACATCTTAGCAAACCCCATGATTACTTTTTTTATTGGCATTTGTACTTTGCTGATTAAATTCCTTGTGGTTTATGATGTGTTTGATATCAATTAAATATATTTTTTTTTCCTTTTCTTCTTTCAGCAATCCTCAGAAATCAGCCTGTACTTGGAACTCACTTGGGCTGATTGTCCCCAGCAGAGACTAAATGCTCTAACTGCGCATTCGCAAGTGGCTTTTCATCAGCCAACAGATGCTCATCAATGACATTCTCGGGTGGTTGAAGTGGTCGCAATCAACACTGTCACTCACATCATTCAGATGGTTGTGATGTCATTGCTTGCCACAGGAAGCAATGTACACCATTTCATGTAATATACTTCCTCGATTTAGTTTGGCTCAGCTCAGCTTGCTTGGTTCAACTCTTTAACACCTTTTCAGCTCAGGCAAAGGCGAATGTATTCCTTTCTTCCTCAAGGAGATTAGTGGGGAGAATCTGAAGGCCATAAACACGTAGCTTTCGCACTGCCATTTGGGTGCCACAAGAGCTGCCTTGCTGTTAACTTTGGTTCAAATTTTTGTAGCTTTTTTATTTATGTTTTTTACCCTTTTTGGGCCAAGGGAAATGTATGTTCATTGTAATAATATTATGGCGATCATTTGTGAATAATCAGTGGCTTTAAAGAATAAATTATTAAATGCTTTTGTCAGCAGAGACTGGGATTGGTGGTGTGTTTCTCTGATCTTACACTGCTCGTGCACCTTTGTATGTCAAAAGGTGTGTACATACATAAATATTTATATCCAAATGCATATACACAATCATGAGTCTTATTTGTTTGTGTATTTGTGTTTAGTTGTATTTTAGTATAAAGTCATTTCTACACCAAAAAACTATGAAGATATTTATACATGTGCATTTGTGTATGTACATATATGGATGTGTATGGTCTCCTATGCATTTTTTTATGTTATATCTCCCTATCTATATTTATTCCTAGTATGTCAAGTCACAATAAAAAGATGGGGACATATAGCATTCAACAAAAAAGGTACCCATCGCAGTCGGATATTACAATGTTGGAGCTTACGATAATTTACTTAAGGGATTGTATACAATGAAACCATTTACCTGTGATATAAAGTGGTCACAATTACTTGCAACCATGTGATGTGAAGTTTGATAGTTTGGATGTGCCACAAAGTTTGAAAAAATTTCTTTTGAAAGTTGAGCTTGTTTAATAGAATCATTGCAGCTATTCAATTTCACATCCAATGATCAAAGTTAATGTCTCACCGTATTAAAGGTAAATGGTCTTATTCTGTACTTTTCCTTTACCTAATTCAATTCAATCTATATCTCTTCTTGATTCGAAACTTATTAAAAATATATGATAGAAAATTTGATTGGAAAAATAAACTCTTTTCAATTAGCTCGTCTTATATTTGAACTTGTGTATTTTAAAGTTGATTATCTTCTTTGGAAGTTTCTCCGGTCCTTAAATTTTAATAATATTGTTTTTTTGCAAGATATAGATGAGGGTAGGGACACGCAAGCATTCTACTAGACCACGACTAGATGGAGAGAATAGGGTGCCCATTCAAGGGGACCTTACAATGTGGAAATTTAAATTAACTAACCACCTAATCCAATTTATTCTTCATCTCTAACTGTAATATAAATATCTTGATTCTTTTAATGGAAAACATTTATTACGAAATTAATTGAACAATAAACTACAGTACCTTATCTTTATCTAAACTTACTTCGCAGATTATACCCACTCTAATCCCAATCTTAGGTTTCTATATTTTGTAAAATAATTTTTTGTGGTTTTACTAAATATTTTAGAGGCAATAAAATAAACATGCAAAGGGCCAAGTCCACATATGTAGAAATGTGGGCTTCTTAATAAATCTGTTTTTGAGATGGATTTTAAAACTTAATTTTTAAGGACATGTAATCTCTAACATGAAGATCATGAATATAAATAAATAAATAAATTTTAATTACTAGAAATAATAATTCTAATAAGAAAACATTTGGACCGTTAGTTTCCATTGTTTTTAGATGAAACACCTACGTGCATCTACCTTTAAGATGGATACTTTTTTTTTTTTGGGTAAGTAAAATGTACTCAATTTTAGAGAAGTCAATGAGAGGAAAAAAAGAGGTAAGTCACTGGAGGATTTGAGTCCCTACCCTTTGGTGAGAATGGATTCAGAGATTTTATCATAGGGCTCGTTGGTACTACCGTCAAGGACCCAGCCCTTTCTAAAAAGCTTATGCCCAATGACTGTGATAGGAATTGATCCCCTTTAAGATGAATACTTTACACTTTTTGGGTCGCATATGTAGAAATGTGATCCAGCCCGCATGAAACAATTTTTCTTTTGCAGATAAATATACAATGTGCTTTGAAGTGTGTGTTTATATACGCAAACTTTATTGGCTATAATGTTTAATGCATCAAAGCAAATTACAAACAAACATAACTACGAAACAATTTGTGGCTCAGAGTATAGTAGAATGGCACAAAAATCTATTCACTCTTAATGCTAAAAATTTAAATTTCAACGAATAATATAGATTGAGTAGATCTATAAACAATCTAAAATTTTGAAAATAGACCAGATAATGTTACAAGATCCACCATTTTAAAACTTTGAAGTCTTTTTTTTTTTTCTTCCATTTTCATACATCTCAAGGTTGAGAGCTCAACTCGAAGGGTTCCCAATGCCGGGATGATCATTTTCCAGTGTGTTTTTAAGGTGGACTTTACTTATATGTATATTTTTAAAGTGGACCTTACTTCTATGTAGAAAGTTGACGCCTTGAATAAACTTTTCCTTGAGAAAAATGACTTAAACAAAAAAAGAATTCAATTCGAAAAAAATGAGATATAGCTATATTTTAGGGAAAATTATCAAAAACCCGAAGACTATACTTTCTATACAACTTACACCCAACCTAACTTTTTGTCTCACTTTTTTCCCAAAATATACTATGCAAATACCCCAACCAAATAAAAAATAAAAAATACCTAAACTACCCTCCCTTACTTTTACCTTACCCACCTCTCTCTCCTGTATCCCACCAAAATAGGGGCTCCGACACTGTCTAAGAGCGGTTTGGCAGTAGGCTCCGATACGGTGTAAAGTGCTATCCGACAGTAGGGCTCCGGCACTGTGTAAAGTACGGTTCGGCAGTAGAGCTCGAGCACTGTATAAAAGGCGGTTTGGCAATTGCAATGGGCGGTTCGACAATAGATGTTAATGGAGGTTCGACAATAGATGTTACGCGATTCCAGAACTTTGGCACTATGCGGTCCGACAATAGATATTACTGGAGGTCTGACAATAGATGTTACTCGATTCCAGGACTCCGACACTATGTAAAGGGCAATCCGAAAGTACTTAGTTTCAATCCGATAGTCTACGTTCCAGCAAGTAGTACTGGGGTCCAAAAATCAATGTAAATCTGGCAAAAAAAAAAAAATGAACTTTTTCCCTTTGGGGGTTATTTGCATAGAAAGATTGTTTCGAGAAAAAAAGTTTGAACAAAGATAAGTTGTGGTAAGTTATATAGAAAGTGTAGTCTTAAGGGTTTTTTTGTAATTTTTCGTATATTTTACCCTATGTTTGTAAAACTTCCAAAAATCACATTAAAGTTCTTTACATGCACTTATTTTTATAGTAATATGATGCTACAACCTTAAAAAACCATCTTATGACCATTTGTTTGATCCAAATTTTAAAATATACACTATTTTCATTCTAATGAACAATCTCAAAAAATGAAAAAATTGAAAACACAATCTATGAAGTATTTTTTTAGCCCCGTTCATTTTGGTGAGATGCTTAGATCTGGACCTCAAAATGATTTTTTCATTTGCAATTTTTTTGGATGGCTTTATTATCATTAGATGAATAATGTTTAAAAAGAAAAAAATGATTTGAATTTATAAAGACTAAGATCTTGAAATTCACAAAATGAATGGTCTAAATTTATTTTTGAAGAGGACTCATTTTGACCATATCTAAGATTCAAATTGAACTTTTATTTTGGACGATTGATTATTAAGCTGAAGAGAGTGTGTTCAAAATTTGAGGTCATACAAATACCACAAACATGATTTTCTAGAAATGTCGTTGCATTATACTATGATACAACCGTTACATTGAATCAT